CCGCGGGTGGAACGCCCTTCCCGGGGGCGCCGCGTGCCTGCCGCCCGGGCCTGGCCTGGCCCGCCTCTCGGCACAGGGGCGCCGCCGCGCCTGCGCTCCCGCCCCAGTGGGTCTCCAGCAGCTCCAACCCAGCATCTCCGGAGACTCTGGGTTTTTTGCGTTTAAAAGTTCAGGGATCGGGACCAGCAGGCGTCTTAAGGGCTATGTCGCTGGGCTCCCATGTAGGTGACCGCGGTTCGAGTCCCGGACCCGGTGGCTTAAACTCATGCCGGGCGCGTATGCATCCCGAGAGGAGAATGGAGAAGGGATTGCGGCCTGGCCATCCCCCTGGGGGGTGATTTCTTGCTTTCTGTCTCTGTCTGTCTGGCGAGCGCATGCACCCTATAGCGAAAAGCTCTCAAAAAAACCAAAAACCTCTTTCAAAATAATAATAATCTTTGGGCCAGCAAGTGGCGTGGAGGTTCGCAGGTGGAGGCCCAGGCCACAGCTTGAAAGTCACACCAGGTGCGAGTGGCCACGTGCACAGAACCCCATGGGAAGAAGGGACACTCCACCCGGTGATTGCTTGCTTTCCCTCTCTCTTGTCTCCAGCAAGCGCATATGCCCTGTGGAAAAATAAATCACCTTTTCATTTTAAGATAATTTTCAGTTTCCCTGCAATTGTCAGAAGTAATACAGAGAGTGGACGGCAAGTGACTGGTGGTTAAAGGCGCTAGACTTCCCACATCGCCAACAGTGGTTCAAGTCCCGGACCTGGCATCTTGCTTTCTCACTTTCCCTTTCTCTCTCTCTCTCTGGTCAAAAAAAATACAACAACGCATCCCTCCACCCAGTCTCTCACTCGGTAATGTCTGCAGTCTCAGATTACACCATTTTTATGAGCACACACATATATGAACATCTACTTTCTGTGCAGTTTTTGTCACATGTACACATGTGTCTCTGCTACCAAAACCAAGGTGCACAACAGCCTGTTTCCAGGGTCTCGTACCACTTTTTGTTTTGAGGTTTTTGCTGTATGGTGCATGTGTTGACCAGAGACGGACAGGGGACGTGAGAAATCACCCCTCGGTATGGCCGTGTCATGGTCCCTTCTCCAGTCTTCTAGGGACTTTGGGCAGGCGCACTCTCCTGTCCTCTGTGATTCCCAGGTCCCCAGATCCAGGACTCAAACCGCTGATAGCTATGTGGAGCCCAGTGCATTCATTAGCCACCACGCCACCTGCTGGCTCCCCGAGCTACCCTTTTGAAGCCACAGCTGCCTCTACTGCTCCTGTCACTGGTGACCCGTGGCCTGCTCTCCTCCATGGTAGCATTTTAAATGCTGTGTAAATGGGATCCGAAGTGCAGTCTGTGGGGGAGATGGCTTCCTTCACTCAGCGTAACCATGCAGTTCGTCCCCGTTTTCGCGTGCTCCAGTCTGCCCCCTTTATTGCAGCGCAGTGCACCCTGACGGAGTGCACCACGGCCTGACTGCTGCATGTGCCTGCTGAGGGCTAGCTGGGATGCTCCCGCTTGGGCTATAGTGAACGAAGGTGCCATGAACACACACACACAGGATTTTGTATGAATATGAGTTGTTTCTCTAGAATTAAGGCCCAGAAGTGCAGAACTGAGTCTTGTGCATTTCTAGCATGCTGGGAGCAGCAACATCAGGATTGCAGTTTTCGTTAGTGTTCTTGCTGCAGAGTTGGACAGGGTTGAAGGGACTGCACCAGTCCTGTTCTCATCAGTCCCATCATTTTAATGAGCCTTTGTGCTAAGTTTGAGGTTTTTCAGGAATGTGCATAGCACTTGTACTAGGTAGGTGGGTTAACTTTTGTGGGAGTGGGTGGTGTCATCCGTGCCCATGACTGGGCTGACCTCCTTCACTCAGGGATGATGGACCGTCTTCCTCAGTCTCCGCGCTCAAGCGCCTGGAGCGGAGTCAGTGGACAGATAAGATGGATGCCCGGTTCGGTTTCGAGAGGCTGAAGGAGCCTGGTGAGAAGACAGGCTGGCTCATCAACATGCATCCCGTGAGCACCCGTGCTTTCCCTCAGCCCTTCCCTGCCTCCTCCTCGTCAGAGCCTTGTCCTTGTCCTACGATGGTGACTCAGGGAGACTGGTTTGTAACTCTGCTCAGTACCATTGAGGGCTACGAAGAGACCACTGTAGAAAGACTAAGAGGAGGCGTGTCCCTGTTAGCCACCAGAATAGAGAGCTTTCAAGGCCTGCGAAGGCGAAATGCAGAGAACTCTCCATTTGGTGGAGGTTACGGCGCAGTTCTTGTGAGTGAGACAGGTAGTTTACACCGGGTTGGGGCAAAGAGCTAGATGAGAGGGTTTTGCTTCTGAAGTGCTCAGTTTCCCAGAGGATAGAAGGAGAAAGGCGGCTACCCCGTGGGGAGGGTAACTTCCTGCCTGTGTGGTGACCTCCTGTAGACCGAGGTCTTGGATGAAGACAAACGCTTGGTGAGCGCAGTGGACTACTACTTTATTCAAGATGACGGGAGCAGGTTCAAGGTGAGCCCTCGGTCCCAAGAAGCTAAACCCATCTGTGACCAGGAGCAGCTGGATCCAGAATGCTGGGCACCCGTTAGCTCTGTGGCTCTCAGGGCGTGGGAGGCTTCTTGCACACAGCTGCTCATAACCCCTCGCGGGCCCTGGGAGGTGCATCAGTCAGCGTGTGAGATGCCCTGAGAGGAGGTGGCTCAGGAAAACTCCGGAAGGTGAGCAGTCGTTAGGTCTTCACCCCTGAAATACATGCAGATTCTGGTTTCCACTGTGACGTCTCGAGCTGTCACGGTCAGGGATGCATTGGGTGTACTGCTGGATTACACCAGCAGACAGTCTGTCTTCACCTCCCTCTCCCTGTCTTTCTCATCTCCTGTGGATGGTTCGGTGATTTCTGCAGGTGGCCCTACCCTACAGGCCATATTTCTACATCGCCACCAGAAAGGTAACTGTTTTACAAAGTCCATCCAATAACCCATGTCTCATCCTGTTTCAGTGGGCTGGGACGTGGGCAGAGGAGGAGACAGACTGGACTAATGGAATCCTCATTCTGATCCGAATTTAGGGTTGTGAACGTGAAGTCTCATCTTTTCTCTCTAAGAAGTTTCAGGGTAAAATTGCCAAAGTCGAGACTGTCCCCAAAGAGGATCTGGATTTGGTGAGTACCAGTGAGACCCCCCAGGGGTGAGTGAGCCCAGTGTCCACACTGTGTGTCATGGGCAGATGGGGAGAGGTAGAGAGAGACAGGTCATTTTCTGGGTAGTGGGCAGAGTTGACGACTGGAGTGGATAATCTCAAAGACCTCATGGTGTTAGTGTCCCAGGCAGAACTGGACAGGGTGCTCGAGGTAGCAGCTCTTTGACTTGTGTGTTGACTTCTGAGTCTTCCCCTTTGTTGCTGTCACTGACGCTCTGGCTCTCAAGCTCACGGGCATGATCTGTCCACTCTGTAGCCAAATCATTTAGTGGGTTTGAAGCGGAATTACATCAAGCTGTCTTTCCACACTGTGGACGATCTTGTCAAAGTGAGGAAAGAGATTTCCCCTGCTGTGAAGAAGAACCGAGAGCGGGCCCATGCCAGTGATGCGTACACAGCCATGCTGTCCAGGTAAACTTCATTCTCTGAGCAAAGCACCACAGTTCTGAGTGGCTAGAGGGGTAGAGGGTGGGAAAACTCAGAGATAGTTACCCTGGTGATTGACTCTTGGATGTAGAAACACTTTTGAGTAATTCGGTAGAAATTTCTGTTACCGTTTTAATTTTTACCAGAGGGCACGTGTGTTCACTAGAGAGACAGAAAGGAAGAGCACCCTCATTTGAAATGGTCATGCCTCAGTCCCTTCTGTCCTTCCTTTTGGGACCTTGGGCACGCGTGCATGCTCAGTGTGTTTTTTAAGTCGCTGGGTCTGAGACTTAAACCCACACGGTCGGCCATGTGGGATCCAGCTGCCTTTACTACCATACCTCAGGCTGGCTGGTAGAAGTTTTTATGTGCTCTGTTTGTGCTAAAAGAACAGAGGCTTCCCAGGTTGTGTTTTATATTTCAGCTCTCTTTGCTTCCCTAGAGGTTGGATTCATATCTCTAAAATGGAGTTGTTGTGTTAGTAAAGACATCTTAGAGAAAGATTCCTCATCCCACTACCCAAGCACAGTCCCTCTAGAAGTTTTATGAAGTGCTGATATTTACACAGCATGTTTTCTCCAGAGAACCTTGTATATCATACAGAGAAATTGAAGCAGAGAGCACTAAACACTTCATCGAATGTTAAAGCGTCAGGATAATAGGAAACAAGAGATTAAGAAAACTTCCAGAGTAACCGTGGATGTCTTGAGAAGAGCTAATCTCTTCCTCCTACAAAAGATCAATTTGGAACCCCGAACATTTCTCCAGGCCTTCCCGCGGAGCCCACCTTCCCCAGCAATGTCACAAATTACTTTTCAGAATAGTATTTATTTATTTATTTATTTGCTTAGAAGAGGTTTTTCCTGTAGGGCACAAGCGCTCGCCAGAGAGACAGAGACAGAGAGACAGAAAGCGAGAGATCAACCCCTGGAGGGGATGGCCACGCTGCAATCCCTTCTCCATTCTCTCAGAATCTTGGACACACACGCACACATGCCCAGCGTGAGTTTTAGCCACCAGGTCCGGGACTCGACCCGTGGTCAGCCACATGGGAGTCCAGCGACATAGCCATTACACCATCTGCTGGTCCCACTTTTTTTTTTTTTTTTTTTTTTTTCCGCGGGGTTTTTTTTTTTTTTTTCCGGAGAGGTTTTTGCTATAGGGCACATGCACTCGCCAGAGAGACAGAGGCAGAAAGCGAGAAATCACACACACACACACACACACACACACCCCGGGTAGGATGGCCACGTCTCAATCCCTTCTCCTTCATTCTCCTCTTGAGATCTTGGGTACGCACGCACATGCGCACATAGTGAGTTTAAGCCACTGGGTCCAGGACTTGAACCGCAGTCAACTACATGGGAGTTCAGTGATATAGCCATTATGTTAACTGCTGGTCCCTGCCGGCCCCTTTTTAAAAGGTTTTTGCCATGGGGCACATGTACTTGCTGGAGATAGAGACAGAGAGAAAGAAATCACCTTCCAGGTGTGATGACCATGCTGTAATCCGTTCTCCTCCATTGCCCTCTTGGGAGTCCTGGGCACGCACACGCACCTGGTGTGATTTTCAAGTCACTGGGTCTGGGGCTTGAACCACATTTGCCATGTGGGAGTCCAGCGCCTTGACCACCATGCTACTCGCTGGCCCCTTTTTTCTTTGAATTGGAATGTTACTTACGCCATATAAAATGCACCTCAAATGTGTATGCTGAAATTTCCCACATCTGATCTGTCAGGGAAGGATGATTGTCTGAGGCCATTCCTTAAGGGAGGACTGTCCCCCCGTGATTGCTGCCTTTTTACTCAGTGTGGACACTCATCTTCACCTTTGCTAGCTCCTAGGAGAGCCTAGCCAATCACTGCTCTGTTTGCTAGTGTCCTGCAAGGGGGCAGCATAGTTCCCGATGAAGAGGAAGCCTCTAAGAAGACAGCTGACCAGCTGGACAACATCGTGGACATGCGCGAGTACGATGTCCCTTACCATATCCGCCTCTCCATTGATCTGAAGATCCACGTGGTGAGTGGGTAGAGGGTCGGGAGGTGGTGGTGCTTACAGATAACTCCACAGAGAAATGGACTTCCCTGCACTTCAGGCTCTTGGAAGGTTACCCTGTCCATTTTGTAGGCTCATTGGTACAACGTCAGGCTCCGAGGAAGTGCTTTTCCAGTGGAGATCACCCGGCGGGATGACCTCGTTGAACGGCCTGTAAGTGTACTCACTGAATCGCCTCCATTCTGAAACCTCATCTTGTTTTCTGGAGTTCAAAATGGGTGCTGGAAGGTGCATTGGATTCAGGGATTTGTTTGCTACTTTTTTCTTACATACTTCATTAAAAGAATAATGGGGGCCGGCAGTTGGCATGCTGGTTAAAGGTGCAGGACTCCCCCATGGCTGACTATGGTTCAAGTCCTGGACCTGGAGTTTTGCTTTCTCACTTTCCCCCTCTCTCTCTCTCTCTCACTCTGCCCCTCTCTGGTCACATTAAAGTAAATAAATAAAATAAAGTTAAATGAAATAATTCTTAAAAAAAAAAAAAAAAAAGAATTATAGAGATAGGGCACTTCATCAGTTTCTGGCCTCCGAGCATGGTTTCACTTTGTACCTGTGCAAACCATGTGGTTTGCGGGGCTCGAATGAGTGTTTGAAGGGAGCTATGACATCCGTTTCAGTAGCTGCCAGTGAAGTAACAGTGAGAAGTGGGTTTTTAACTAGAAGGCCTTGTTTCAGCATGGCTTTGTGAGCTTGGGAAAATCTCTGTACTCAGTTTTCTCATTTCCGAAATGACCACGTCAGCTATTAACATGCCATAAGGACCTGTTAGTGTTGTTCTAAAGGTCAAATGAAGTAAAGAGGTTTTCTTTTTTTAATCTCCAGAGACCACATGTACACATGTACCCTCTGGGGAGATAGGACACAGAAAGAAAGAGAGAACGCCCTCCTCCAGTGGCCACACTGCCCTCCCCACCTTCGTTCATCGTTTCTTCATCTTGTTGGGTTTCTGTGCACACATGTATGTGTGTCTGGTGTGTTTGTGAGCCACCAGGACTGGGATTCAAATCACGGTTAGCCATGTGGAACCTGGCTCTCCATTCATTACTAGGCCTCAAGGCCAGTCAGTTGGTCCCACGGTACCTGTCATAGGTCTTAAAGAGCCTTCATCCCTTGCTTCTAGCCGCTGGAGGGTGAAGCAGGCCAATAGTTGGGAAGGGCTCATGGGACTCCCCAAGCTTGACCTAGTTTGGCTAACTTCATGCTGTGGTTTGTCTCCCCAGGACCCTGTGGTTTTGGCATTTGATATTGAGACGACCAAACTTCCCCTGAAGTTCCCTGACGCCCAGACAGACCAGATCATGATGATATCCTACATGATCGATGGGCAGGTGAGCGGGGACTTTTGGGAAGTGAGCCCCTGAGGAGGAGGACTTTGGTCTGTAGTAGAGCCGCACCCACCCATGGCTAGTACCGGGTGGGCGAGTCATGAGCGAGTGCTGTCCAGGGAGGTGGGCAGGTGGTTAACAGTGTGCTCCTTCCTTCTTGATGGAGTCTGACACTTGTGGAGGCCTCTTCCCAGGAAATTAAAGGTGCCCTTGCCTTACGCGAAGGCAGAGACCCCATGCAGTCCCAGGCAGTGTAGGGAGACTATGTCTCAGCGTCGCTGTCTCTGACCTGCACTGACTGCTAATGAACTTTGCCAGGGTTACCTCATCACTAACAGGGAGATTGTCTCAGAAGATATTGAAGATTTCGAGTTCACCCCAAAACCAGAGTATGAAGGGCCCTTTTGTGTCTTCAATGAACCTGATGAGGTAAAAAAGTGTCCCTTGGACGCAACAGGTGGTGTGGTGGTTAAGGCGCTGGACTCCAACATGGCTGACTGCAGTTGGAGTCCCAGACCTTTCAGCTTGCTTTCTCACTTTGTCTCTCTCTAACTCTTTCTGGTCAAATTTAAAAATTGTAGTCATAAATAAGATGAAATAAACAGTTCTTTAAAAGGAAAAGAAATAAGTCATCACTTGAAAGAGCACCCTATATTTTCGGATGAAGTGAGGTAAAAAGAGGCATGTGATCCTCGTAAGGCCTCAGGCATTTGTGGAGTCAGAGTTGCAAGTCAGTGAGCTTTGCTTTGGGTGTGCAACCCTCTTCCATGGCGCAGGCTGCGGTGGGGCATGGGCATAAGGGCCAGCACGAGGCGGTTTTTCCAAGCTTTCGGAGCTGTCTTTGGAGATGGCTTGAAGAAGAGAAGAGCAGGCTGACTGCTGTGGCTTGTTGAGTTCAGGTTCGCCTCATCCAGAGGTGGTTTGAGCACGTCCAGGAGACTAAGCCCACCATCATGGTCACCTACAACGGGGACTTTTTTGACTGGTGAGTCTCACTCGTGGTTGCCTAAGAAACGTGATGGGGAGCGGGTGGAAGGATCTGTTTGCTGTCACGTGTGTGTCTCACTCTGACAGGAGAAAGTGGATGTGTGGAGCCTTTCCGAAAAACTGTCTTCCCTGTGCCTAAGAGAGGAATGGGGTAGGAGAATTAGAGACATACCTGTGTCTGTTGCTTGTCTGTCCCCTTTCGTCCACAGGCCATTTGTGGAGGCCAGAGCAGCGGTCCATGGCCTGAGCATGCACCAGGAGATAGGCTTCCAGCAGGACAGCCAGGGAGAGTACAAGGCGCCGCAGTGCATCCACATGGACTGTCTCAGGTAGACACCCGTGTGCACCTGTTGCCTGTCACCGTGGTCTTCGGAGTGAGTTCTGAAAGCTGCCTCCTCACGCAGATTGTTGCTGTTGACATACCTCGTGGAGGGAGGGCAGCCTCCAAGAAGCAGCTCCGGGTCACCTGAGTAGCAATGGCTGGTTCTTGTGGGGCCCGGGGATACACATCTTTAATCACTTGCTAATTATTTTATTATTCAAAAAGCACATAGAACATCAGCTACGGGGCGGGGAAGAGAGACAAGAGAGAAAGTCTGATAGGTCCTTGACAAGCTGACGGGGTGGTGCCCAGGCTGGTCTTAGGAGAGCCCAGTCACCAGATAGGCAGGGCCTGTCCCAGATCAAAGGGTGAGCAGGCAAGGCAGCTCACACATGCAGAGGCCCAGTGTTTGGGGACTCAGGCGTGCTGTGGCTGGAAGGGCAGAGGTGGGTGTGGAAATGCCAAGGTTGGAGAGGACAATGGGTCTCCAGGGCTTCCTGTGCTTGGTGGGGGGTGGACTTCCTTAGACCATCATGGGCTCCTGTGGAACCCTGGACCTATGACCAGGTTTCTGCTCCGTTCTGGCATTATGTCACTGGGCTTGGAGGGGAGGCCAGGAGCCTAGGTGTCCACTGGGAGTGGCCTGTCTAAGTCAGGACTCAGCCTTGCTGATGTGGGACGTGGGCCTGGGAGGCGAGGGGCGCTGGTTCTCAGGGACGAGGGTGTGTTTCTAGGGGTCTTGGGCCATCAGACAGGGCATGGGGGCGGGGGTTGAGGTGGAAGGTAACGGCCACAATCCTGCTGACCCAGAAACCCCACGCACGTGGAGGGCTCTGGAAACCCCTACAGTGAGGTGGATCTCAAAGCTCAGTTCGGACGGGCACCATGAACTAGCAGGTTTGGCGTGTAGGTCTTGGTAAAAAGCCATGGTAGTTGGTGAATTCTTGAGAAGAAATAAGAGGAGGGCTGGTTGATGTGGAGAGACTGGAGGGAGGGGGTAGCCATGGAGGGTTTAAGGGAGAGGGCAGCTGACAGCACAGAGGCCATGAGTGTCTGTGCCAGCAGCCGTCTGAGGGCGCAGCACTCCGGTCTACGCGTCTTCCTGACTCTCTGGGTGCGAGGCCAAGTACTGTGCTGGGGCAGGAGGTGAGGAGAGGCGAGGGGCTTGAAGGGCTGGCTCAGAGATCCCTGTGCTTGGTGGGTACAGCTGTGGTTTACTGGATTCAAAGGAGATCTTCCCAAGAGTCCGCACAGTGTTGGGGTTTGGTGTGGGTTTCTTGGGGACCGGTCAAGACACTGCCTTCTGCGTTGTGATGGCCGGGCTGGCTCCGAGTTCTCGGGCAGTGGGCAAGGGTGTTCTCTAGCCTGTGCCGCTCCTCTCCTCCCCAGGTGGGTGAAGAGGGACAGTTACCTCCCCGTGGGCAGCCACAACCTCAAAGCAGCTGCCAAGGCCAAGCTGGGCTATGACCCTGTGGAGCTGGACCCCGAGGACATGTGCCGCATGGCCACCGAGCAGCCCCAGGCACGTGAGCCACAGCCCAGCTCTCTCACGAGGCCGCAAACGTTCCAGCAGCCAGCTCGCCTGGCCACTGCCCACCACACCTGCCCTCACTCAGACTCGGTCCACTCTGCTGTGCCTGCTCCCTCGTCAGACTGTCCCCTCGTCACTCCTATGGCTGCCAGCCAACCTGCCATAACTCAGGCTGGCTCCCCCTGCCATACCTGCTTCCTTGTCACGCCTGTCTCCTCCTCATAACTGTCCCCTCGTCAGTCTGTCCTCGTCGCGCCTATCCCCTTATTGCACCTGTCCTTTGTCATGCCCATCCCCTCCTCATGCCCGCCTCCTTGTCACACCTGTCCTTTGTCATTCCTGTCCCTCATGCCCACAGCCCCGGCCAGGCCCGCTCTCACTGAGCCTCACCTTTATGCTTCACACAAACCTGTGAACCCTCTTTCTGGCTTGTCTCGTTAGTTTCCACTGTATGGCGTGTGCATGCTCTGGAAAGGGAGAAGTCACCCCAAAGGGGTCAGCTGCGCCTAATCCCTTCTCCACTCCCTCAGGACCGTGGGCACTCACGCACATGTGTTTCTCAAACCACTGGGTCTGGGACCTGAACGACCCAACTGACCATGTGGGATCCAGCACCTTAACCACCGTACCCCTGCTGGCCCTAGACCCTCTGGTTTTGATGACCACCTGACTCTCTCTGCAGACCCTGGCCACATACTCTGTGTCCGACGCAGTCGCCACATACTACCTGTACATGAAGTATGTCCACCCCTTCATCTTCGCGCTCTGCACCATCATCCCCATGGAGCCCGACGAGGTCAGTATCCTTGTCCTGCTGCTCTGGTTCTCGCATCAGTGCCACACTCTGGACCCTGCACCGTGAGAGTGCAGTGCCCACCAGGTGTGGTCCTAGAAGGCTGATACCGAAGGCAGAGTTCAGATTTGGTTGTGATGTCACTGGTGTCCAGCTGGAGCCTGGGCCTCGGTGTGAGATAACCAGGAGGCGGAGCTTACGGCCTTTAATCCACAGGCTTTCTCTCTCCATATCCAGGCAAGATTAGGTGTCCTGGAGGTTCTTGGAAGCTGTTGGTGTCTGGTTCGAGGCCGTGTTTCTCCTACAGGTGCTGCGGAAGGGCTCTGGCACACTGTGTGAGGCCTTGCTGATGGTGCAGGCGTTCCACGCCAACATCATCTTCCCCAACAAGCAGGAGCAGGAGTTCAACAAGCTGACGGACGACGGCCACGTGTTGGATGCCGAGACCTATGTGGGGGGCCACGTGGAGGCCCTGGAGTCCGGTGTCTTCCGCAGTGACATCCCCTGTCGGTTTAGGATGGTGCGCCGCCTTCCTGGGTCTCCTCCCCACTCCTGCCTGGCTTGGCTCATCTGACCCAGCATCCCCCACCTTGGGCTTATTGGGCAGGTCTCTGGCTGGTGCGTCCTGGCCCACAGCACACTGCAGGGTGTGGGCCCTGCTGGGCACGCCCTGGCACTCACAGCCTGTACCGGCGGGCTTGGGCTCTGCGTGTGGGTGTGCGTGCGGCTGCACCACCAGCAGTAGCATAGTGCGACCTGTGCTGTCTCCTGGCTGTCTGCTCCAGAACCCTGCTGCCTTCGACTTCTTGCTGCAACGAGTCGAGAAGACAATGCGCCACGCCATTGAGGAGGAGGAGAAGGTGCCCATGGAGCAGGTCACCAACTTCCATGAGGTACTGTCCGGGAGGCAGGAGGTCATCTGCAGAGGGCTGCTGCTCTGTTTTTCTTTTTGTTGTAAGGTGAGGGACCAGTAGGTGGCATAATGGTTACATCATTGGACTCCCACGACTCAACCAGTTCCAGTCTCAGACCCAGTGGTTTAAACTCAGGCCGGGCTCTTGTGCATGTGTGCCCAAGATCCCGAGAGGAGAATGTAGGAGAATGGATGTGGCATGGCCATCCCCTTGGGGGGGTGATTTCTCACGTTCTCTCTCTCTCTCTCTCTCTCTGTCTCTGTGTGTGTGTCTTCCCAGCAAGCTCATGTGCCCTGTAGCAAAAATCTTTTTAAGAAATTTTTGTTGTACAGTGTGAGTGCTCACTGGAGACAGAGGGAAAGTGAGACAGCAGGTACTCAGGAGAGTACTCAGTGCGACCCCTTTCTCTCCTCGTGGGGTTTTTGGGGCGCATGTACATGCACTCTGTGTCTTTTAAGCTGCTAGGTCTGGGACTTAAACTGTGGTTGGCAATGAGGGACCCAGCCACTTTAACTTTCACGCCACCAGCTGGTCTCTGACTGATTTTATTTTTGTGTTTTAGAACAATGTTTTCATGCTGAAAGCTCTTGGTCCTTCTTTTTTTTTTTTTTTTTAAGACTTATTTTATTTAACTTTATTTACTTATTTTAGTTTGACCAGAGAGGGAGAGCAAAAAACCAAGCTGCCAGGTCCAAGACTCGACTCGCCATCGGCCATGTGGGAGTCCAGCGCCCTTAGCCCCCTTCCCACCTATTGGCCCAGTTCTTCGTTCTTTCTCAGATCTATTTTAAATTATGTTGTTTTTCTCTTCCTGTGTTTCATATTTTTTTGGTTTTAGGTTTTTACCATAGGACCTGTGAGCTTGCTGGAGAGAAATAGAAAGTGAGAAATCACCCCCAGGACGTGTGGCCACACCACAGTCCCTTCTTCATTCTCTTCTTGGGATTTTGGGCACACATGCACATGTGCCCAGCATAGTTTTAAGCCACCGGGTCTGGGATTCAAATCGTGGTCAGTCATGGGAGAGTCCAGTGCTTAACTGCCATGCTAGGCTTGAGTTTTTTGTTTTTTTTTTTTTTTTTAGATATTCTTGCTATATAGTGCGTTTACTCGCCAGAGAGACAGAAAGAGAGAAATCCCCCCCAGGGGGAATGGCCACTTCACGACCCCTTCTCCATTCTCCTCTCGGGATCTTGGGCATGTACGCACACGCAGCCAGCATGAATTTTAAGTTGCCTGATCTGGGACTTGAACTGCAGTTAACTTTGTGGGAGTCCAGTGACGTAACCATGATGTCATCTGCCGGTCCCCCAATTTCTTTTCTTTATAAGGATCACGTAAAACATTTATTTATTTATTTATCTATTTAATGTTTTGTCCAGGGGTTTTTTTTTTTTTTTTTTTTTTTTTAAGAATGGCTGAAGCACCTGGTAGTATTTTTTCTAGAATTATTTTATTTAACTTTAGTTATTTATTTATTTATTTTAATTTTCATGGAGAGGGACAGAGTGAAAGAGAAGGAAAGTGAGAAAGCAAGCCACCAGGTCCAGGACTCGAACCTCAGTCAGCCATGTGGGAATCCAGCACCTTTAACCACCATGCCACCTGCCAGCCCCAGTCTCGGAGTCTCATTATCTGAAGCCGAGGGTGCTCCTGTGTGTGCCACAGTGGGTGCTTCTCCCCACACTGTGACTGGAATGTGACTCCATCTGCAGCAGGGTCCGTCCAGTCTGCTGCAGGCTGTCAGGGATCTTGACGGTTGTTTCCACCCTCTTCCCCAGAGTGTCACTGCCTGGGGCCCCCTTTTGTTTGGCCCACCATCCACGTGGGTAATGTAACCACAGTCTGACAGAGGATTGCTCTGGAAAGGCCTTTTCTTTCTCATAGCTCTGGTGACAGACTTGTTTGGGCTCTGCTTTCGTGGAGAGGTGGTCTGTGAAGCCCCCGCAGGGCCTACACCTTGTCTGGTGATGCAGGCTGTCTGCCTTCAGCTGTGCAAAGAGCTCATGATGCAGGCCTGAGACGCTGTCCGCAGGGCCGTCTGTGCAGGGACTTGGATTTGGCTATTTTCCACTATTTTCTTTTAAATGGTTTTATTTCATGTGCAAATAATGGACAGGTGTTCTACCCATAAATTCTCTTTTCCCAAAATAATTTGGAGTTTTTTTTTTTTAACGAAAAAATTTGGAATACTTCACGAATTTGCGTGTCGTCCTTGTGCAGGGGCCATGCTAATCTTCTCTGTCGTTCCAGTTTTAGTACATGTGCTGCCGAAGCAAGCACACTTTTTTTTTTTTTTTTTTGAGGGTTTTGCGAGAGGGGCCCCTTGTGC